GCATGGTGGCACGTGCCTGTCGTCCCAGCTACTCGGGAGGCTGAGGCAGGAGAATCGCTTCAACCTGAGAGGCAGAGGTTGCAGTGAGCAGAGATAGCACCATTGCACTCCAGCCTGGGCGACAGAGCGAGACTCCATTGCAAAAAAAAAAAAAAAAAAAAAGAAAGAAAGAACGAAAGAAAAGAAAAACATTCCATTCCATGTTATTGATTTCAAGTTCAGTAAAAGTTCATAGATGGGAAAGATCAATATGAACAGAGGATGTATTGGAAGAGTTAGGATGTTATGGAGCTTGAGTTGGAAACAGGAAATCTAAATAAAGATTCTTTAACACCACTTCAGCATCTTACTAGCAAGATTTCCTACTTGGGGGAGAGAGAGAGAGAGAGAGAGTGTGTGTGTGTGTGTGTGTGTGTGTGTGTCTGAGTGTTGGAGTATGTGTCTGAGAGTGGGGTGTTGGAGGGAAGGAGGGACAAAGCCGGGTCTTTGTAATGAATTTCTCTTGTCCCTTTTTCCTCTCACTTTTCTCAAGACCAGCCCTGTAGAATTTGGCTGTCATTGTCTACAATCCTTCCTGTTCCTAGCATGTCCCACAAAATGCCTGGCCCATAAATACATGTGGGGTGGAAGAAGTGCCTTGCCATGAAGACAAAACTAAACCCTGTCTTATGGACTGATGTTTATTAGGCGTTCATAGAGAGGAGAAGGGTGGGAGCTGTGAGATCTTATGAAGGGTTTCTAGTGGATACAGGGTTGATCTGGGTTGTGAGACATAAAGACATAAATTTTCCCACTCCCATGACCGCCAGTATTCTTCCAAACTGCCGATTAAAATGGCGCTAGTCCTCCAAACCAGCAAAAGCTGCACTGCCGTATTGGTAGCCACTAACCACATGTGGCTATTTAAATTTCAACACAATTTAAAATTCAGTTCTTCAAATCGCACTAATCACATTTCAAGTGTCCAGTAACTACACATGCCTAGTGGCTTCCATATTAAATAGCTCAGATAAAGAACATTTCCATCATCTTAGAATATTCAATTGAACAACGTAGATCTAAAGAGTAAATCCTCTCTGGGATGCTGAAGGTGGGAGCCACATTTAAATGCTTTTCACAGTCTTAGAAAAGTTCCTTTTCACTTTTAGCTACTATACCTTAGGATTTAACCAACACGTCCATTACTGATGGTTTCTACACTTTCAGAATGTATGTTTTCTCAGAAAGCATGCAGTGAATTTTCTTTAACAATTCAGTGGTTTTTAGCATATTCACAAAGTTGTATAACCATAACCACTAATTACAGAACATTTTCATCACCCCAAAAAGAAAGTTCATAGCCATTAAGCAGTCACTCCTCGTTTCCCCTTGGCAACCACTAATCTGCTTTCTGTCTCTATGGATTTGCCTATTCTGAATATTTCATATAAATAGAATCATACAGTGCGTGGCCTTTTGTTTCTGGTTTCTCTCACATAGCATAATATTTTCTAGATTTATCCATATTTCGGCATTTATCAGTACTTCATTTTATGCCTGAATAATATTCCATTATATGGATATACAGTAAGTTCTCATTTATTGTCATTGATAGGTTCTTGAAATGGCAACCTTTAAGCAAAACAATGTATAAAAAACCCCAATTTTCCCATAAGCAAATTGACATAAATAAGAATTAAGTTCCTACAGCATATTTCTGGTCACAAAAACATCAGCAAACTGCTAAAGAGCAAAAACACTTCTAATATTAAAGGTGGAAATAAATGTGAGCTGTATGTACACTTTTAAAAGATTAATACAAACAAGCAAGATAATTATTTGCCCCATTACTCCAGTTTGAGGTCTCAGGTGATTGGAACCCCTCTGGCAGCTCAGCACACCAACAGGGGACCAGTCCCAAACAGGACATCATTCCATCGCAAGCCTCTCTCTCTCTCTCTCTCACACACACACACACACACTCTCTCTCTCTCTCACACTCATCCTGGTACAATTTAGACGCACCAGTGAACCTAATGTGCACATCTTTGGAATGCAAAAGGAAACTGGAGTACCTGGAGAAAACCCATGCAGATGTGGGAGAACGTGCAAATTTTCAGCTGACAGTTGATTTTTTTTTTCTCATCAACATCCTAAAGAAACAACGTTATTGGAGGACCTTCTGTACTATTTAATACATTTTGTTTATCTATCATTAATTGACGGGCATTTGGGTTGTTTCTACCTTCAGTTATTATGAATAATGATATTATGCACATTTGTGCACAAGTTTTTGTGTAGGCATATGCTTTCAATTCTCTTGGGTGTATATCAAGGAATGGAATTACTGGGTCATATGGTAACTCTATGTTTAACTTTTTGAGAAATTGTATAACTGTCTTGTAAGTCAACTGCACCACTTCACCTTGTGTTCATTTAAGGAAGAGCTTATTCTTCTCTTGACCTGACAGTGTTTGACATACAGAAACTACCTATTTACTGTTGGATTGAATGGATGATCGCTTTGCTACACACCAAATGTTCTTCCAGTCTGGAACTGAAGAATGCCCTTTTGAAGACCAGGATAGGGTGTGGCCCTAGTCTCTTTAATACCACCCTATTAGCCTGTCAGGGGTTTTCATCAGTCACTTCATGTTTATTAAGTACCTACTTAATTGGGGATACATTGATTGGGGATACATCACTAAGTAATGCACAGTCTTCTAGTTAGACGGCCATTTGAGCAGATCACTAGAATGCTGTTGCTAATTGATGTTATAGGCATATAAGACAGGCAAGAGGTTCCCAACTCAGCCTGGGAGATTGAGTGAAGGCTTCACAGAGGAAAGAATATTTGAGTTTTGAGCATTAAGCAGTGGTCACCGGGAAGAAATGTGATACAGGGGGCGAACTAAATAAAGCATTTTGCTAGAGACAGAGAACAGACCAAGACATAAGCAGTTCCTGCCCCCAACAAGATTCCAAGGTTATGGAAGTAGAATTCAGGTTCTTCCTTCACTTGTCACTCTTCCTTCATTTGCCATCCTTCTTTCACTTGTCATCCCTGGGCTCAGTTTAATGTGAAGCGATGAGGGTTGAGCAGTTTGACAAACCATCTTGGGTCAGCTTGGTTCTCTGGCTGAAACAGTCCTTTTTCGTTGGAGTGATAGTTTGACCAATCCAAATGGAACTCTGCTTTGGCAGAAGCCACAGCTATGGAAAGTGAGCAACCTGAATTATGGGCTAATGTCTCCATGCGCTTCTGATGCTTGGAGAGGGATGCCCATGAAAGAACTCTCCTCACACAGTCCACACCATGCCGTGCTCTGTCTGGTGTTCCTCCCAGGTGAGGTTCAATCCATACCCGTCCACCTATTCAATATAGTGAATCAACTGAGGCCCAGCGCGGTGGCTTACGCCTGTAATCCCAGCACTTTGGGAGGCCCTGGGCAGGCGGATCACTTGAGGCCAGGAGTTCGAGACAGCTTGGCCAACATGGTGAAACCCTGTCTCTACTAAAAATACAAAAATTAGCTGGGCGTGGTGGCACGTGCCTGTAATCCCAGCTACTCAGGAGGCTGAGGTTGCAGAGAGTTGAGATCGTGCAATACACTACAGCCTGGGCGACACAGTGAGACTCCGTCTCAAAAAAAAAAAAAAAAAAAAAAAAAAATTAAAGTGAATCAACCATCCGTTGATATAAACTGGAGAAAACAGAGGTAATTTCCTCTTGAGATCTTGGGCTCCTTAAAGTAAATGACTGTAAGCTCACCCTAGGGTAAGGGCCAAGACTGTTCAGAGTGGGTGAAACTGTTAAAGCCTTGAGTCTTTACTTCTCTCCTAAGCCAAATTTCTCACTCAAGGCGTACTGTCAACATAGGATAACAAACAAGGGGGAAATGTCTGTAGAAAAACGGCTACACACTTGCTTTCAAGGTAGTGCCACCAAGCCAAAGGTCCTACAATATAAGCTGTGTTACTTACTTCTACTCATTTCCTATCTGGGTGTTTAGAGACGGTGTTTTATGAGTAACAGAACAAAAGTCTGGTGGCACCCAGACCTACAGTTTGTTTTCATTCCTTAGAAAGATTCAGGGCAGATGGGAGAAAAGACAGAGGATAGAACAATTTCAATTCCCTATAGCCCCTCGGTTCTAACCAGTGCCTCTCCTCCACAGTGTGGAGTGACTGCTGGTGTGTCTTTCAATGAAAATCTCTCAGACTAAAAACTGGTGTCATTTGTCCACATATTAACGGGGCATATGGATGTTCTTATAACAGCCTCTTTCTGTATGTCTGAATTAATAAATGTAAAACGTTTGGAATAGTGCCTAGCAAATAATATGCACCATAAAAATGTTAGGGTCATTATCATTATCCAGCCTCATCTCTCTAGCTAGGTATGAACTTTCCTGTAACCGAAGAACTAACCACTTTTATCTTTTGTTTCCTCCCCAAACACCTAGCACGGCGTTTTTAATAATTTGTTGGCGTAATTAAGACCTTAAACAAGTTGCTCTCCCTTTGAGAGCTCATGTAAGACCACCGAGAGGTTGTGTGTAGAGTCCGATATGAGTCCACAAAACTATTTGGCGCCCGCTGTTTACAAGCCACTGTCCTGAGCCTACGCCCTTTGTAGAGTCAAAAGTATCAATAAACGAACGTAAGGCGTGAGGCCAGGTGAGCAATGATTCCCGCTCCTAGGAGGTCTCAACCACCAGCCCGCAGGCGGAGGGGGTGGGACTCCAAGGCAATCCCCATTCCCCGCCATTTCCGTGTCGCTCGAATCGATGCTTTCCGCGTTGCCTTGTGCCTGGATGGCCAGCCCCACTCGGCGCAGAGGCGAAGGATCCCGTCTTCGAGGTCTGGTTGGGACTGCGGGAGCCGCGGGAAAGTAAGGCCAGCAGATCCCGGCGGCGCCCGTCCCGTCCCTCCGCCCCGGCTCCCCGGCTGTCCAATCAGGGCGCGGCTCGGGAGCGCGCCGCGGCCAATCAGGAGCGGCGGGAGCGGCGCCGGGAGCCGGCGGGCGCAGAGCGAGCCCGAGAGTCTGGAGCCGGCGGCGGCGCTGCGGTCGGGCGGGAGCTTGGCGAGAGCAGCGCGGCCGGGTGGGTATCCCGCGGCCAGAGGAGCCGGCTTTGCCGCGGCGACCTTCCGGCGGACGCCGGGGACCCTGCGGACCGCGGCGCAGGTAACTGCACCCCGCGCCCTGCAGCAGGAGGACAAACGCTCCCCACGAGAGGGGCCCCGCAGGTGGAGCGGGCGGGGGGCGGGCCGGCCGCGAGGTCCTAGCGCCGCGGTGCCCCCTGGCTTCCCCCGAGCCTGTCCGGTCGGGCCACGCGGAGGCGCGGCGTTTCCACCAGCCGCGGGCGTCCCGGGGTGGGAGAGGAAGAGGGGACTCTGCTTAAGGCAGGTGGGGGTGGAGGAGGACTCCTGCGACCTCCGGCCCCATACACAGACACTTCTGGCCGATGGGTGTTTTCGAGATTGGGACTCCCAGGGTGTCTTCGTTGGCCCGAGTGGGGAGGCGACAACAGGTGTCCTTGGGGACGGTGCTTTCCCTACACTCCCCTAGCCTGAAACCCCGGCCTTGGCGCCGCGCCCCACCTTCGGGGTGTCGGGAGGCAGGACCCCAGCCTGGCCTCAGGCGCTCTGCCCGCTGGACAGCGCCCAGAGGCGGCCTTGAAGCGGGTCTTGGATGGAGTTTCCTCTGCGCGTTGCCAAGCAATTTGCCGGACACCCGCCTCTCGCTGGGATGAAGAGTTGAAGATGAGAGTGTGTGTGCGCGCGCGTGTGCGTGTGTGTGTGTGCATTCGTGCGTGTGTGTGCGTCCGTGTGTTCTGGTGCAACCCCTACTGGAAGGAGCTGCCTGAAGGCTGTGAGTGAATCATTAACTGTGCTTTTGTGCAGCTCCTGGCCTCTGCCTGCCTCCCCGCCTCTCCCGACGCTCCCCGTTTCCCCCTCGGGCTGGTCCTTCTTGCTCTCCGTGCCTCCCTCTCCTGATCTGTAAGGTGGCGATAATGATTGCACCGGCCTGATAGCGTTGTTTTGAGGATTGTATGAGCCAATGCCTGAAAAACACCAGGCACAGCGCTAAGCACTCAATAAATACCGGCTCTTATTATTTATTATACGGAGTGGATGGGCTTTTAAAGAGTAAATCAGACATGTCCAAACTGGCCTAGCAACCTTTTGCAACTCTGAACAGCTTTCTACACTTGAAAGGAAAAAAATGCTATTATTAATGAGACTGATGATCTCTTTAAAGGTAGCATATCCTTTTAGGGGGTGGGGCGGTAAAAAACCGATCCACTGGAATGGTGAGAGAGATAAATGCATTCCAACTAGTAACTGAGAAAAGCTTTGTGACCTTTGAAAAAATTGGTATGACTATTGTGTGAAAATAATATCATGGTACTTTGTTAAATGTTCACCTTTCATTAGCATGGCTGATTTGGGGGAAGTATTTGAAAGTTTTATACCTTTTACTCCTCCCATAAACAAAAAGGTAAAATTAAAAAGAGAGGGAGGGAGAAAGAGAGAAAAAAAGACTCAACCACACGACAAAATTCCAGTGGCTCATAGAAACCTAAAATTGCAGTTGCTACTTTTAGGTGTTTTTTTCCTATGCCTGACCTGGGTGGTCTGGTTTAATTCTTTGTCACTGTGTCACTTTTCTTTTCTTGGTTAATCTGAAAAGTCAAATAACTGGCCCCTTTTATTTTTCTTTTTAAAACTTAATATCTCGACATGTAACAGATCTGCTTGGAGTTCTGAACCCCCTGCTCACTTGCTTCCTACCCTGTGACAAATCCAAAAGAACCTTCTCAAAGCTTCTCTAGGGTGATGTCAATGGGAATCTGTCTTACCACACCATACTACCCCCTGCCCTCCAATCCATAGGCGAGGACCTGGGGAAAGGATGCAAAGAAAATGCCTCAGTTCTTGTAAGGTCTCCTGTGCTTTTGCCAGGAGCCTTAGAATGAATACATTGACTTAGAGGAAATGCTTATCTTCTCAGGGGGTAAGAAGCCCACTTCCAGATGCAATCTTTCAAGTCTGAGATTAGCATGGCAGCCCTTTCAGTTGTTGATAAGGGGACTTTTCCTCTCTCCAGTGGCGTGGGAGGATCTGAACGCTTGCTGCTGGGGGGAAGTAAGAGAGCTGTGTTGGGCGGGGCAAAGACTCCTGAGTTCAGAGCCAGACTCCCACCTCCTGAGATCTCAGAGTGTGACTGACTCTGGGAAACTTCAACAGATTGCTTTGTTTTTCGGAGCTGGGCTTCTGCTTTAAAACGTGAGTTGTTGAATTTTTAATTTTATTATTATTTTTTCTTAGAGGTTGTTCGAAGTATAGTACTAATAAGTGGAGGAGCCCTGGCACAGTTCCAGGGATGTGGTTACAGGTCTGTAGCATCCAGAGAATATCTTAAAAGTTATACCTGGGAAGGACACAAAAAGCTTGACCGAAGGGTAACACTTGAGCTGAGTGTAGAATGATGAGCAGGTCTCTTGTGCAGGCAGGGGTGAGGTGGAATTGGAAAGAAGGTGGAGCAGAGAAGACATTCCAGACTGAGAGAAGTGATCAAAAGTACTATTACAGTTGGCTTATGGTAAATAACAAGAAACTCCCAAATCTCAGTAATTTACAACAACCAAGATTTAGTTCCCTCTCATGCTGCATGTCCAGTGTAAGTTAGGAATAATTTTACCCCTCATTTATCATTCTGGGACCCACTGAGGCTTAAGAAACAACTTCTCTCTGGGATAATGTGGATCTTATTTATGACAAAGGGAAAAAGGACATAATAGAACAAAACTATAGCATCTAAAGTTTGCTCAGAAGTAGCAGCTGTCACTTCAGCTCTCCTGCTCTTGGTCAAGGTAACTCATGTGGGAGGTCTGCTGTCCGTGGTATGGGGAAGTGTACACCAGCTGCAGACCGTGAGGTATGGCTGAGCAGGAGGAAAAGTGCTGAAGGAAACAAGGTCAGGAGGTGGCCCAGTGGCAGATAATGAAGGACCCTGGGTCGGGTCCCAGGGGATTGGGCCTTTATCCATTGGCAGGGAGCAGCCACTGAAGAGTTTTGAGTTGGGCTTTGACAGGGTCAGATTTTCCAGCTGAACACATTTCTAGTGGCCATGTGGAGAGAAGATTGAAATAGGTGAGCTAAAAAGCAAGAGGTGATAAGGGCCAGGGCAAATACCGTGGCCTCCAGTCTCTCTCTCACCATCTGTGACGTGACTTCACATTCCACTGCTAGAAACTGATTCAGTTGGCTCTTGAGCAGCTTGCCTTCTTAACAAGTTCTCTCCTAAAATGCACATGCTCTCTCATCTTGAAGTTGTTATTTTATATCACCTGAAGCAGTGGATCTCAACTTTAGTGTGCATCCGAATCACCTGGAGGGATTGAGAAAATGCAGATTGCTGGGTCCGGCCCCCTGAGTTCCGGAATCAGTCAGTCTGGTCTGGGGCCTGGAAATGAGTATTTCTGACAAGTGCTCAGGTGATACTAATGCCGCTGGTCCCACACGTTGAAAACAACTAAACTAAGGGGAGACATTAAGATGTGGTTGAGATAAATACCAGAATGGAAGAGTCCAATGGAAGGAGGAAAAGGGCTGGAAGTTCTCAGCATTCTCCATACAGCAGTTTTGCTGAAGGCTGGCTCTGGCCATGAGCGGTAGGCTCTGTAAGAGTAACTGAGCCTCTAGGTGTATATTAAATTGCAGATACAGTGCTCGTAGTGAGAAAATGAAAAAAGCTTGGGTCCAGAGAAGAAGCATACAAGTACTGCTTTGTCCCATCCCTTTGTAATTTTGCCCAGACTTCCCATCCTATCATCTAGCACACACCCTTTTGTCTGGCTCCAGACCTCTAACTCAAGCCTGTCCACATATTCCAATCCTGATCCATCACACTTCTTGTCATTCCAGCTATAATTTCTTCTGGAGCTTAGCTTTCCCACTGGGTGGACATTTTGGCTGAATTTTGATATAGTCAGACCAAGAAATTGCTTGCTTTACTTGAGGTCACTATCATAATTAAACATCTGTGCCATGTGGTCATACAGATTGTGATCAGTCCCCCCCACTCCCAAGATAAATAACCCCCTGAGAACCCAAGATTGTCCATGGTTTGGCTTATACTAAGAGATGGAGCAAGTTACTACAATTCCCCCTAACTGTGACTCACCACTCCTGTAACAACAGGGCATGCCAGAAATGGACGTAAAGGAGCAAATATGTTGGGGTGTGTAACGTGACACAGGAAATAAAACACAGTGAGAGTGTCTTTTTTTAACTATATTTTTTCTCATTCGTAAGCATGGCACAAATTTGAACTCGACCTAGGGTCGCAATAAACCAGTGGTTTGCCACCGTGTGACAGAGAGCATGTAAATGCATGAAATACTTCTAGGATCACCATTCTAAGTGCTGGCTACCAGATTAGGATATTTGTTTCAAGGTAGGATGAGTGCAGAATTATCCATCGGGGTGTGAATAGAAAATTCTAGAAATTCTATATACATTTTATTTTTTTGAGATAGAGTTTTGCTCTTATTGCCCAGGCTTTAGTGCAGTGGTGTGATCTCAGCTTGCTGCAACCTCTACCTCCCAGGTTCAAGGAATTCTTCTTCCTCAGCCTCCCAAGTAGCTGGGTTTACAAGTGTCCACCACCATGCCCAGCTAATTTATTTATTTATTTTTTTTGGAGACAGAGTTTTGCTGTTGTTGCCCAGGCTAGAGTGCAATGTGCAATCTCAGCTTGCTGCAACCTCTGGCTCCTGGGTTCAAGCAGCTCTCCTGCCTCAGCCTCCCTAGTGGCTGGGATTACAAGGATGCACCACTATGCCCAGCTAATTTTGTATTTTTAGTAGAGACAGAGTTTTGCTGTGTTGCTCAGGCTGGTGTTGAACTCCTGATCTCAGGTAATCTGCCCACCTTGACCTCCCAAAGTGCTGGGATTACAGGCGTGAGCCACCATGCCTGGCCATAGGTAATTTTTCTATTTTTAGTAGAGATGAGGTTTCACTGTGTTGGCCAGGCTGGTCTTGAACTCCTGACCTCAAGTGATCCGCCTGCTTCGACCTCTCAAAGTGCTAGGATTACAGGTGTGAGCCACTGCATCTGGCCTTCTATATGCATATTAAATGCATATAAAATAAATATTATAATGAGCTCATATTATAAAATGAAGTGAGTGAGATTTGAAAAGATCCTTGTTCCAACTGAGATTTGAGAGACAAGTCATATCTTGAAGATGTGCTTTCTGAAACAGGAGAAATTCTCCCAGGATTCTGTGTACTTTCCCAGAGGTGGATAAGAAAGCTTAGAACTGTAACCTCTGTCCTAGAGGCCTGAAGCCAACTGTTTCCCTCTCCAGGTCATTTTGGAGAGCCAGCAGTTTTTCACAATCGTGCACCCGTGGCCTCAGTACTGCCTTCACTTGACCTACTCTATGGTGAACTACCACAGTTCCCTCCAGCTCAGGTTTCCAGGAAACCTGGCCTAAATTTTCAAAAGGTGCAGCTGCAGCAAACAAAACAGCAAACAAAAATGTTACTCTGAGAGCCAGTGAGAGAAGGGATACTTAAACCAGCCAGGGGGATTTAAAATGCTGTACAATTTATTAGAAGGTGCTGCCATCCCCACTGGATAACATTTGCCCAGCAATTTGATATTTAACTAATGTTAAGTGTCAAATCGTAGAAAAATATTATCTTCTATTATCTAGTTATATTAAATGCTTATATATCATATACATATATATATATTTTTCACATCTCTAGCACTTTCAGGAGGTCGACTTTTAGTGTTATTGCTGTCTTTCTGAAATGCAGTAACAAAGATAGAAACAGTTGGCTAAAATTCTATAGATAGATAGTAGCAGGGCAGGATTGAAACTTGAATTTTTCATTCATAGTGTACAACCTTTGTCACCCCAGCTGGCTGCCTACTAACTTGGACTGGTGCCCTGAAGTGGCCTCACTGACTGGCAAGGGGTGGTCAATGTTCCCTGTGATGTTTCATCACAACGAGGAGTGTGAAGCTGCTTTGCAGATTGCTGATGGCTCAGGGAAACCTTTGGGAGTTATGTTCACTTGAAAGGTATTGACCATCAGCTGAGTGCAAGGCTTTAAGGAAAACGCTACGAGGAATTCAGAGAAGTATTATGCTCAGTCTCTGACCCAGCCTCTGTGCTGAGAGAGAAAAGACATAATATTTATATAAAATCAGTGATAGTTAAACCACAGCAAGACCAACAGTAGGCAAATAATCCAATGGGCTATCAAGTGCTGTGAATTCAGACAGCGAGTCTTTCCCAGATTGTGCTGGGCTGGGAAGGTTCAGGGAGGAGCAGCTCCTCCGGACTGGATGGAGAAGTAGGATTTAGCTAGGTGGGAACCGTAGTCTTTAGGGGAGGAATGGATCTAAGTGAACTGTGTCCCTGCCCTGGTCCACAAGCCTTTTCAGGTCCATTCACTGGACTACTGTATCTGAAGTAAAGGGGTCAAGTGGGAGAGAAGGGAAGTCGGAGCTACATGACTTCTTTTTTCTTTTTTTTTGATGCAAAGTCTCACTCTGTCACCCAGGCTGGAGTGCAGTGGCGTAATCTCGGCTCGCTGCAACCTCTGCCTCCTGGGTTCGAGCAATTCTCCTGCCTCAGCCTTCCGAGTAGCTGGGATTACAGGCTCCTGCCACCACGCCTGGCTAATTTTTTGTATTTTTAATAGAGACGGAGTTTCACCATGTTGGCCAGGCTGGTCTCAAACTTCTGACCTCAGGTGATCCACCTGCCTCCCAAAGTCCTGGGATTACAGGTGTGAGCTATCACGCCGGACCTAAATGACTTCTTAAAGCTTTCCTTTCTTGACTGCCATCAGACTATTTAATCTTTGCCGAAATTATCAAAAGCACTATTTAATCTGAGTGACTTGTATAACCTCCTACAAATGAAGCCATTCAGTGATTTATTAGTAGATAAATAACACTGGACTCTCATTTGGCCCTCTTAACGTGTTCAATGTATTAATAGGAAAGCAATTTGGAGCTAAGGATGTCAAACATCTATATAAATAAAATCTAATCCTATTATAAACTCTGTCAGACTTGCAGGCAGTTGGTCCTACTCCATTTGCAATCTAACCTGGAAAGGTCAAATGACTTGTTGAAAGTCATGCAGAAATCCCTTGGTGCTTCTGTAATAACTGACCCTGCTTCCCCTGACATTTGGCGGTGTCTAGCTTAAGTCACTTCACATATCTCCATAAGGTTAGTAACACTAAGAATGACACTAAGATGACACTAGGGCCCTTGTCATCTATATAGCATTTCTCCTACTCATATTATACCCCATGGGGGCTCTCAGCTGTGACCCCAAAGGGTCCTTGTTAATTTTAAGCTTGGGGTGAGATCATTGTATCCTTCTCTGTCAGGCTTCTCCCTCGCTTTCATTGAAAGAAGGTACCGTTGTAGTGCTATGTGTCCATGCAAACACAGCATCTGAATGAAAGGGCATTCTGAAGCATTTTCCAGGCCAAATGCCGAGAAGTATAGTGGGACCATCAGTGGCTTTCTATCTACCTGAACTTTGAAGGTAGACACTAGACCCTTGCCAGCTTGATAGTCGCTCCATTGGCTGCCCTTTGACGTTAGCTAACTGGTTTAAAAGACCAAATGGGATACTTTAAATGAAAACGGACTTTATTTCACTGTTTGCCTTAGAAACAGAAAACATTTGTCTTAAGTTTTTCTTGGTTTTTGTTTCTGTTTTCTTTTGAGACAGAGTATCACGGTGTCACCCAAGCTGGAGTGCAGTGTCAGGATCTCAGCTCACTGCAGCCTCCGCCTCCCGGGTTCAAGTGATTCTCGTGTCTCTCTTTCCCGAGTAGCTGGGACTACAGGCATGTGCCACCATGCCTGGCTAATTTTTGTATTTTCAGTAGAGATGGGGTTTCGCCATGTTGGCCAGGCTGGTCTCAAACTTCTGGCCTCAAGCAGCCCACCTGCCTCAGCCTCCTAAAGTGCGGGGATTATGGGCGTGAGCCACCATGCTTGGCCCATTTGTCTTAAGCTTTTAAAAGATAATGCCGTAGTTAAGTGGATAAGGCTGGGGTGATCCATATTTGGTAGATGTTGTTTAAATGTTGTCTATCATGTGAACTCAGAGCTGTCAAAAATATACTTTGTGTTTTTCCCCATCCTTGCCAAACATAAAATATTCATTTTTTTCTAAATCATTCCGTGTCCCTACATTTCCCTCCACTTCAGACTTTGAACAGTTGAAGGGCGGAAAACTTTTATCATTGCTGAAATTATCAAAAACACTATCAATAGCTATCATGCATTGAGGACGTATGTTATCTTACTTAATTTGCACCTCTGCGCTGTAAGGTCAGGAGGAGTAGCATCTCATCTAAGGAGTGAGACAAAGGCTGGAGCTAAGTACTTTGTCAAAGGTTATAATGGAGCTGGGCTTTAAACCTACCTCTCTTCATCTCTGAGATCTAGAAGCTATGCCCTGAGTCACTGTGGTATCTGGAAGCAAAAGGAAATGTGCTCTGAGGAGTTAACAGGGGCTATCTGTGCACTCTGGCCACACCCTGGGAGATGCCTGGTAGGAGGAAAATTGCTTTTGTTTTTGCAGGGCCAGTTCACAGTATCAGCAGGGCAGTCGAAACACACTTTTTTTCTCTCTCTCTTTTTTTCTCACTCATCCTTATTATTTTTGTTACGATCTCTAAAAAGGTGGTGAGTTAGGGAGTGAGGATCTGTTTGAGTAAATCCAGCATGTTTCTCAGTCACCACCCATCAACCTAATTGGCATAGGCGGGGCTGTGCTGTCTGCAACACAGCAAGCTCCTCCAGCGGTGCCATCCATCACACTGAGGCACCCTGGAGCGCACATGCTCTGCTTCCGGTTGATTTTACGTTTCTGATCCCTGAGCAGGCCTTGAGGAGGCAGTCCCAAGGAGTCAGAGTTGTTTGCTGTTGCATATCAGACTCTGGTCTGGGTGACTTGGCTGGTCACAGCACAGTGCTCCTGGGCCCAGGGACTGTGGTCTCTCTGTGATTTGGTTGCCATTTTCCTATGAAGAGGGTAGAGAATATGCACCCAGTCAGGTCAGGCACTTCGCAGAGGTGGGTGCTGGCTATAAGAAAGCCAGAAAAGAGTGCAGGTTCATTTATACACGTATGTTTCTACTCACAGGAAAACAACTCACGAGGCAAAAAAGTACATCTCATGGATGGAGCAGGGCGAAGTGGTTACAAGTACAGACTCTGGAGCCAGACTGCCTGGGTTTGAATTGTACAGTTTCAGGTGAGTTATTTAATCTCCCTGAGCCTCAGTTTCCTTATCTCTATAAAGGGAACCTACTTCATAGGGTTATGAGGATTAAATGATAATTTAATTAAATGAGTGGTAAAGCACTTTGACGTCAATGAGAGACGAGAAGTGTTACGTGTTTATCAAATAACACATTAAAGCGGTAGGTGAACCTCATGGTATGTAGGTTACACAGTGCTGTGTTAGACGAAGCTTACATGACTACCTCAGTTAAGGTACTCATGGTCAGTTATGCTCAAATGACATCTTGTGAGGTGTCCTAGGGAAACTAGCCATTTTAAAGAATCATGTGAGAAATATGTTTGTAAACTGCCTTTTTGTAAAATGAACATGAGAGAAACTGTGTCAGAGGAAGAGAGAAGTCAAGGTTGGATGACTCGATGTTTCGGGCAAGGGAGACTGGAGAGGTAGAGTGCCATCATCTTGGATGGGAGGAGTTTCTGCCACGGTAGTTTCAGGGGAGGGAGAGTCGCTGGTCAAATCTGGATGTGTTAGGGGTGAGCGTCTTGTTAGACGTTGAAGGGAAGATGTTCAGTGGGCACTAGAAGTCAGGTGAGAAGTCAAGGCTGGAAGCATCTGTGTGGGGATCCCTAGCTCGTAGATGGAATCTAAAGCTGTGAAGGAATGAAGGTATTTAACAGCTGGAGAAGGGATCCTAGGATTGAATCGGGGGCATTCTAGCTTTATTGGGAAAGTCAAGCTGGCTCGAGTTCTCTAGTTTGTGCTTTTCTTCACTTTGCCAGTGTAGAATGAGGTATGGACCCATTGGCATTTTCTTGGGGTGGTTTTCTCATTGAGCTCTATAATGCCATGGTTAAGTGCCTGAGTTAAGACTAGGGTCGGATACCATTTGACCTCTTACTATCTTTGGGCCCTTGGGCAAGTTACTTATTCTCTGAGACTCAGTTTCTTTGCCTGTGAGATGAGAACTAGTGGTGAAAAATGCCCATCTCATGGGTGTGAGGGCTCAGTAAGTGCGACATTGATGCTATGAAGCTGTCCACCACTTTATCTCTTGAAAGATTCTCACCGTTCATTACATTTGTTGAAAGTGAGGAGTGGTGACAGTCACACATGTTTAAAGCCCTTTGAATTTGCCCTAAGCTGGAATCCACATTTTAATTCAACTTATATTGCTACTGTTTTTCTTCTTTTAAAAAAGTAAAAGAGGTCAGGGAGATACTGTAGTAACTACACACATATGCTAGCAACTTATGTTTTCTCTGTAATTGAAACGTTACATCCAGTGATCAGATCTGGCCTCTGTATGTGGTAAGTGCTACAAGAATCACAGATGCTCAAGCATTCAGAGATATGAAAACGGAAACACAGAATAAAAGAGATACCACTGGATGACAGTGTTTTAGTATTACATATAATAACCTCATGTTTGCTCTTTGCCACCATGAGCCAGTTAAGAAGTTTCTCTCATTCTTCCCTGAGATACTGACCAATCTTCCCTACCATTTTTTTTTTTTTTTGATGGTGGAGTTTCATTCTGTCGCCCAGGCTGGAGTGCAGTGGCACGATCTTGGCAGTGCAACCTCTGCCTCCCAAGTTCAAGTGATTCTCCCCTTAAGCCTCCCAAGTAGCTGGGATTACAGGCATGAGCCACCATGCCCGGCTAATTTTGTGTTGTTAGTAGAGATGGAGTTTCCCTTTGTTGGCTAGGCTGGTCTCGAACTCCTGACCTCAAGTGATCCACCCCCCCCTCCTCGGCCTCCCAAAGTGGTGGGATTACAGGTGTGAGCCACCGAGCCCAGGCTTCTCTACTGTTTTAAATCCAAGTTTTACACTTGGTTGGAAAATTCCTCTAATGCATTTTATTTCACTCAGCAAATAATAATATTCTGAATCCATTTCTAAAAAACTCTCACTCTCAAAGCTAAATAAGAACCTAGAGATGTGGAGAATCACATTCTGAAGTCTTGTCACTCCATCCTCTAATTAGTATGTCTGCTGTGTTTACATTTGTGGTTTATATGCTTTGAATTGGTAGCTTTTCTGTTTTGCAAGGGTTACTGTCAGTGAGACGTCTACCAAAAGAAATACTGCTATTAGTGGTGTCGGGACCAAATGTATGTAACAGTGTGGTGTGTTTCTTAATCCCTACTGTGGTTTTTGAGAAACCATCTCTAGATGGTTGTGGGTGATGTGAGGACTGAAAGAAAAAAACTTTAGAAACAGCAAGGCAGAAACATTAATAGAAAGGAGCTTCCAGTGATTAAATTTTTCTTTTGGTCTTTCAGGTTGAGGAAGTAAGGAGAGTAGGCATAAATGGTGGGAAATTTCCATCAACTTGAAAAAAACAATAGAATACATAATTCTTAGCCACTGAGATGAGAGCCCAGGAAGTCACAAGGTCAAAGGATCCTGTCCCATTTGTCTGTGGTGACAGTCTCTCCTCCCCTTACAAGAAATGCCTTACCCTTAAATAATAGAAGTGCCCCTGAGAAGTTGAAGAAATGCATGCTGATGGAATTTTTAAAAATCAGATACATTTTAGAAGTGATTATACTTTTCTATATTTTCCAATTTATTTTTAGTGAGAGTATATTCTGTTTATAATAAAAATAGAAATCGAAAAAATATATATTTTTTTGATACGGAGTCTTGCTTTGTCGCCCAGGCTGGAGTGCACTGGCGTGATTTTGGCTCACTGCAACCTCAGCCTCCCGTGTTCAAGCGATTCTCCTGCCTCAGCCTCCTGAGTAGCTGGGGTTATAGGCGCGTGCCACCACTCCCAGCTAATTTTTGTATTTTTATTAGAGATGGGGTTTCACCATGTTGGCCAGGCTGGTCTTTTTTTTTTTTGAGACGGAGTCTCGCTCTGCCGCCCAGGCTGGAGTGCAGTGCTGGATCTCAGCTCACTGCAAGCTCCGCCTCCTGGGTTTATGCCATTCTCCTGCCTCAGCCTCCCGAGTAGCTGGGACTACAGGCGCCCGCCATGTCGCCTGGCTAGTTTTTTGTATTTTTTAGTAGAGACGGGGTTTCACCATGTCAGCCAGGATGGTCTCGATCTCCTGACCTCATGATCCGCCCGTCTCGGCCTCCCAAAGTGCTGGGATTACAGGCTTGAGCCACCGTGCCCGGCCCAGGCTGGTCTTGAACTCCTGACGTCAAGTGATCACCTGCCTTGGCCTCCCAAAGTGCTGGGATTATAGGCATGAGCCACTGCGCCTGATTAGGAAAAATAAATTTAAAAGAAGGAAGTAAACTAGCAATGTGGGGATAAGTGAGTTTTCACTTTGAAAGGTGCTTATTTGCTCACATTTTATAATGTGAGAATTCTTTTGTCCTGCAAGCTGTGACATTTCATAACGTACCTGCTCTCCACATTTAGAATTTACTTTAAACGTAGGGGATGTCAGTAGGGCATTTCGTGTATCAAAACCTCAGACTCCACTCTACCAAAGCAGCCAGGCCTCACTCAACAGACATCGACTCTCACACTTTGCCAAGCCCACCCAGCGTGTCCTGGTTCCTTGTGGCTGTCCCTGGCAGTTGGAGACACCCACACGCCCCTGCCTTCAGTCAGCAGACACAAACTTGGGATGCGTCTGTTTCTTGTTTGTGAGAGGCCTGGTTCACAAGGATAACATCACGATCAGCCTGGGGCCCCTGTGCAGCTGCCCCATGAGGCCACTGCAGCCGCCTGCATTTTAGCGTTTGGCTGGGCTGTCTTGGTTTTATGCCCATGTATCAGTTTTGTTGGGGGAAGAGGGAGGGGAATGATTCTCAGAAAAGGGAAGGACATATCCTCCGCTTTGCTGAAAACGGAAATAAGGAATTATCAGTTCAGGGTCAGTAGAAGCCACAGGGCCTGGCTTCCTTCTGTTGGGCTCCTCTGGAATGATTTTGTGTTGTTTTGAAAGGCCCGAAAGCAACTTGAGCCAGATAAATTGTTCTAGGGTGACAGTTTTTAACAGGGAGTCCACAGATCCCTAGGACTTTGAGAAGTGTGTCTGCGAAGTGCCTTAAATTATAATTAATGTTGCATGTACTTGTATTTTTCCAGAGATGAGAGTCTCTGGCTTAAATTATAACTCGGAGATTCAGAGAGCTATAATTTTTTGTTTAAAGGCTGAGAACCAGTTTCAAGGAGAGGCCTTCAAGTCTGAGTTGTACATCTTGGTCTTGGCCCTAACTTGAGAACTCTTCCTGATTGGTGACTCGTGTATGTAGTGATAATATCAAGAAAAGTGTGCAAAGCACCTTAGGTACACCTATAGAAAGTCATGTTGCAGGAACATGAAGAAGGTTTCACTTTTTCAAGTGCTGGCAAGCTAGAAATCTACAAATTTTTTTTTTTTTTTTGAGACCGTCTTGCCCTGTTTCCCAGGCTGGAGTGTGGTGGCACCATCTCATCTCACTGCAACCTCCGCCTCCAGGGTTCAAGCAATTCTCCTACCTCTGCCTCCTGCGTAGCTGGGATTACAGGCGCGCACCACCACACCCAGCTAATTTTTTGTATCTTCAGTAGAGACAGGGTTTCACCAGGTTGGCCAGGCTGGTCTTGAACTCCTGACCTCGTGATCTGCCCGCCTCAGCCTGCCAAAGTTCTGGGATTACAGGCGTGAGTCACTGCGCCTGGCCTGGAAATCTAGAAATCTTAGGGGGACCTACAGAAACCCATGCACCTACTGAAGCCCATGCTGCAGAAAGATGAAGGTTTCACTTCTTCAAATGCTGGAAAACTGGGAATCCAGAAATCTGGGACCCCTGCAGTTCTGTCCTAATGCCTCCTATTCTCTCCTTTCTCAAGCCCACTCAGAGCTCCCTTAGTATTCTGTATTATCATAGTATTGACTCGCTGGAATGAACACAAATATCTCTTTTACCTGGTGTCTTAGCGTGTTTGTGTTGCTGTTAAGGAACACCCCAGACTGGGTAATTTACAAAGAAAAAAGGTTTATTTGGCTCATAGTTCTGCAGGCTGTACAAGAAGCGTGACACCAACGTCTGCTTCTGGT